CTGCTTAGGATTATAGAATGATTACTTGGGTCATATTCAGGAAAGTTCGAGTCAAACTATTCTCAGCGGAGTATGCATAGAAAAAGGGCACAAATATAAGCATGATAATTTTAATCGTTTATTGTTTATTACACAACGGATGCTTTTCCTTCCTACTCATTATAACCTCTTGGATCAGCACAACTTTCTGGATATCCTACAGCTAACTGTTAAATATTGTTTCCTTCCAAGCAGCCTATCAGTTTAAAAATTAACAAACAGGCATCGGAATTTTGCTCAATTCCTTGCCAATGCAATTGCGCATAATGGACCACAAACTGATGGAAGTTTGTGGTCTCTCGGGTATTTTGGTACGGTGCTGCCGTGAATGTTGGGTTCCTGGACTGCAACGGGCTAATCTCGTTTCCGACTGAAAAAAAAAAAGTATGTCATTTTACGTAAAGATATGTGGTAGATTTCACCGTTAGCTACTGATGGACAAAATTTGAAATCCATACCTTAACTGTTTTTGGATAAATAATTTCAGCATTAAATAATTTCGAATTTGTCACTTCACCAATAGATTCCGTCTGAGAAGAACTGGATTTTCTAAAAAATTAAAAAAAAATTTGGAGTTCGAAACAACAATTCTCGATGCGTACACAATGTCCTCTTTCATCAGTTGCAACTCCAAAGTACCACGCAACCTGCTAGCGATCATGCATATTAGACTTACCTGCCATCATACATATCAGAAACATAGTCATAGGCATCATGGAATTCTTCTTCTGCATCCAAAAATGCTGCAATAAACCAAAATTCTTTCAATAAATAATGAGGAAAGAGAAACTCTGCCATTTATTTCATCACATAGAAAAAAAGTTAAACATATAAGTACAACCAGGAATGGGATAAGCGCATGTTTCTAAATACTTCAAGGTGATATACTACTTCATGTTTATCAATGGAAAATGAGACCGATCCTTCGTAAAAGTTGCAAACATTCCATATCCATCCCAGTAGATCAAGAAGGAAACAACTGAATTTTAATTTTAATTTCCCTGATCAGAACAAATATCTTATTAGACAAAAGAAAAGGAAAGCACTGATTTTGATTTCCAGAAAAATTTAGGAAATTTCATAAGATTTACGTGGCTCCGAAGTGACACTGCCTTTATGTGTCGAGTGATATGCCACACGTTCAAGATTACTATGTTGCTGCGCAAGCTCTTCCAACTGATCTTGTAATCTTAAGCGTTGTTCATGTTCGTTTGCTGCATAACGCCCCACCTTTTTCGATTCCTACCATACAATAGGTCAATTAAAACAATAAATAAGTTTTCCACCTTATTTAATTTAAAATAAGTGGGCTTAACTTAAGGGGAGTTCAAAAAGAAAAAATCGAAAAACTTTTCTGATAATTTCAAAATGTAAAAACAATCAACTTGCAAAATTATTTAGGATACAGTAACAGTGAGTGAAAACTAAAATCATTCCACAATTCATGATATAGCCGTGAGAAACACTAAAACAAGTTCTTTGTAAAACCGCAAAGAATTCATTTAAATTTTCACTACTTTCACTCATCACCTCCTTTTTTCTAAGACTTTGTTCCTTGATTCATTTCATTAAAAGTTTCCGACTATTAGTATAAAATCTTTATATTAGTATAAAATCAAAGTCAAGCTTCTTTTTGACAAAAAAAGAAGAGAACGTTAGCACTTCCCTTTCTGATCTGTACACAGTGACAATGAACACTGATAAAAATACATGAAGAAATTTCCACTTTTCTTTTGAAGATTTTTGAAATGTTTTTTAAGGAAAAACTAAAGAGTTCATACTTCGGCAGTTAGAGTGACAAATTCTTCGCAAGCTTTCATCATTGCAGCAATTGTAATCTTAAACAGGTTAATGCGTTCAGCCACGGCTTTAATTCTTTCCGTTTTTTCTAGATCACTCATTGCTCTCAAAAGTTCTGATCCATGTTTTGCTAAAATTCTTGAGTAAATTGAGATTCGCTGCAAAATGATTTTTGAAATGAAATTGATAGTGAATTCGTACTTGGTATATAATCTATAAAAATATAATTACATAATCTATAAAAAACTATAAATCAAATAAATGGATCAGGATCCATTTTGAAACTGAGTAAATGAGGGAATCAGAACAGGAGACCAAAGAAAAGAATATTTTGAATATTTTCCCTCAAATATTCTTAATATTTTCCCTCAAAAGATTCGTGCAGAAAAAATTGCATACAAAAAAAGAAAAAGAAGAAAAAGAGATTTCCCTTAAATATTGTTAGAACTTAATTTAAGAAACAAATTTCTAGTATTCCTTCTAATAATCTTAATAAATAGAAAACAGACAAATAAGGGAGCTGCATGTCCTTAAATCAAAAATTTTAGTAGCAATTGCTCGGTTCATTGTTTCGATTGCAGTGACACTACTGTTGCTAGATACGCTCATCTTGATATCGTCGTCCTCATCTGTAAAATGATAAAGAATACCGCAAAAGCAGTATTTGCCCTGATTATGTACAGTTAGCAGCAAAAAATGTTTCTCAATAATTTTTCAACTATCCATCGCATATAACAACAAATTAAATTCATAAAAAATAAAACATCCGCCACCACTTTTTCTTTAATTCTTGATGACAAAAATCGCAACGGTGATAATGACAATGATAAAAATGATAAACGATGGTAAAATCAGAAAAGATGGCGCAATCTAAGTCGAAGTTTCCGAGATTTATCGCCTAACGTATTTTCCAGCGGTACTATTCTCAATGTATGACAAGATTTCTAAGAATTTTTCCAGCAACAGTTTTAGTGAACTTTTCGTTCTTCGAAAAAAAGAAAAGTGAAGGGCAAACAAAAAGATTAAATTGAAATTTCTCACTGAAGTTTTCACGAAACTTATCGTTAAGAAGTTGCTCTTTTGATTTTATTGTTTGAACCAGAATGTTACTTTTTTCTTGGTATGAAGTCGGAAAACATGAAGAAAAAATTCATAAGATGGCAAAAAGAGCATAAAAGAAGGAATAGAGGCTGAAATGATGGACAGGAAAATAAACTGCCGAATAAAAACCAAGAGACTTTTTCGAAGGAACCTGATTCAGCGTCACGAACAGCGCGATGGCGAGCACATTCAAGCGCATGAAACCATTTGTCATAATCCAGTTCATTTTGTGCTTTCAAATGAAATGTTTGCGAAGGTGCTGAAATTATCAAGCTGTTCGTTGTTTTGTCTGCATGGATACGAGCCTCTTGCAAATTGATACTACCGCGGCATGACTGACCTACTTCTGACGAATTTCTGAAAAAGTTCCAATGAACATGCTTAAAGTTTCAAGGGATATGATCATATCAGCTAATTTCTTTAAATGCAGCCTTCTATTAAAACTTCGAATGTCAATTTTGAAACATTTGAAAATTCGAAATTCAATTTTGCAGCTCATATATAGTCGGATTACACACCATTTTCGAAAAACACAGAAGAGAAACGATCAGCTTCTGATTAACTGATCTACTAAAATACCATCGATATTTGGATACCAATATTTCCGGCATACTATCAGTTAGACTTTTCCGGAAGCAATTCTGCAGCTATCGCAGCAATAATTCTCAGAATATTCGTTTTATAAGTTGATGATGACGCTGATACATACATTTTTTGCATTTACGTACATTCTTTTCTGGTAATGCTAGTTCAAAAACATGAGCAGTAAAATATTTCAACCGAATATTTCTAAAACTTTCTCCGGTAATAAATCAATTTCTCTGAAAATATGTCCAAAACTATGTGGAAGTTTTACAAAAATACCTCGGTGATGATTTACAACTAAAACACAGCAAAGGCATCCTTCCAGTGTTTATATTAACATCTGAAACAGAGCAAGGAGTTCTAAGAGATGATGATAGTGAACCTGAGCATTTAACGTGAGAAAAAAAGGTAAATTTCTTCATTGAAATCCAAGAGCAAATGCTATAGGAGCAGAGAGATTGGAAAACAAAAAAAAAAAGAAAGAAGACAATGTCTATTCATTTTGCTTTATGTATGTATGTTCGTTACCAATTTATTTCTTTAGTACTCTAATAGAGCAATAAAATTGCACTTGTTAGAAAAAATCAATTAAAATACAGCTATAAGACCGTTAATCTTATCAGTGCGATGTTTACACGTTAATATACATACAAAAAATTTAAATGATAGACAGTAGTATTTGCAATGTCATGAATTACGAAACTTCTCAGTAATATCCCTAGCAAGCTCGATGTAGTGCATCACTGACTTTTAATCATAATCGAAACTAAATTTCCTTTTGAAAAATAAACATCTTTTTGATGCCGTTCTATGAAGAATTTCCATTCTTATTTCGCTTTAAGAAAGCACAACATATGAACTGATTTTCTGGTTGAATTACTTCTTCCAGTATAATTTTTTGAAAAACTAATTTACAACCTGTCAATCTCAGTTAGTTTTGACAGCGTTGACAATCTCTCATTAGCATGGCTATTTTAACTAAAATGCGATAACGAGCCTTTTCATTGAATTTCCTGATGCTTCGACTTGAAAAGAATGTGGATTAACGCTTGCCATTTTCAAATGTATGTAATTACCTTGCTATATCCTGGAAACTACAAATCTAAGTTAGAAAAAAAGTGTCCTTAAACGTACAGGAATTGATTACAGATATGTGTCCCACACCCGTTAAAGGAACAGTTTTACAGCAATACACTAGTTTAGTTTTATCCGGAACTTAACAATTGAAGAAACAATCACTAATGTAGCAAGACATATTTGTTATTGAAAAAAATTGTTCAGAGATAACTAATCAAATTAGTGAACACATTAAAACAAATGTTTGCACACAATAAAACAAATTTCGACACAGAATGACATACAAGACAACAAATTTGCCAAAATTCTGACCAGAAAGTTTTCTTAACGAAACGCCATCAATTTCGATGATGATTCATTATTATCGAATATAAGAAATTTTCCAAAATTTTTATATTAAAAAAGGTATAACAAATACGAAAAACTTTTAACTATCACTACACAGAAACAGAACTGTATGCATTCGATTCACTTTTTTTACTGCAATTTTTAATTGTGCATTAATCCCTAGATAAAAAGAAAAAAAATTAAACAAAGTATAGTTTAAATAGAGTTATAGGTGTACCTTTTATCTATGGTAATGAACTTGATTAAGATTTTAAAAACATTGCAAAAATCTGAAAAAATTAAGCAACTAAACATTTTTATTGCATGGCAAGTTTTTCTTCCCTGGCTGTAATGGCGAGTAAGACACTTAGCAGAAAAATTGCTCTTAAAACATTGGCAGAAGATCCACTACATCCATTAAAATTTGTAACTTGTAAAAATGGCAGTTTATACGCCGAATGAATAGTAATCCCAAGCCGAAATTAAGAAGGACCACCAACATATTTTAAATACAAAATCTTCAAATCCAAAATCCCGGCCTAAAACTTTCTATTCAATCTCCAAGTTGATTAGCTTCGTTAAACAATAATTAAAATAAACAGGCGACCCGAAATATTTAAATCACTTGACCTAAAATTGATGTAAATACTCTAAAAAATATAGAAAGTACGACTGTAAATATGATTGAACAATATTGCTTCTTCTAACATATTTGAAATCATAAAAGTGAAAATGAAATTGAACTAACTCCTTTTCTTTTTATAACTAAATAGTCTAAAAGAATAACAAAAGGATTGTTATTAGAAAAGATGAGAATCATGCAACTAAATGATATATAATAAAGAATCCAATTAATCCAATCTATTCGAATAAATCCCATTAGAATAAAAAAAAAAATCAGACCAAATTTTCATGGGATAAATCAGATCAAATTTTCTTTTCGTTTGAAAGCTCTTTTCCACATTTGATTTTTTAAGTATTCAGGATTACCCAATTCCAGTAATCTCTTTTTCTAAAGATCAAAACATACGAACTGACTAAGGGATGGAATTTTTAAATCTTTATCACTTCGTTTTGTTTCGGATCATCGAAAAACCCAATAGGAAAAAACAACAATTTGAGTTAGCGACAACAATTTGAGTCAGCGATAAGCCAATTTCTTCGAAATTCTACATCCTCATATTTAAAGAAGATCAGATATGCCCTTTTATTTAAAAAAAAATCAATGACTGTGAGATACACTGTGTACCACTAAGGTTTATAAAATTTAAGTCTTTTTTTCAAGAAATTCATTAGAAATAATACTGACCTATAATAACTTAGATTAGCATGTGAATCGAGCACGAACCAACGTTGTCGATATCCTTTGATATAATTAGTCCACTTCAACAACCAACCAGACTTCTCACCTAATTCCAGTGACAATTCTGAGCAGCGTGAAGTTCCGATTGGCATTTAAAAATGGTCCTACCCAATTTTTGAGATCTATAAACAAGTATGACAAAGCAGATTTGATACAAAGTTTCTTACATACCGTGGAAATTAATGAAATCACTTATTTGGCGCACATCATGTCATGATATCACACATCAGTGGATGGAACTTCATCAGAAATTCAAATTCTAATAAAACTATTTTGCAGGGAGTTTAGGACATAATCGATGAAATTTCGAGATTAAACAAAATTCAATACAAAACATGCTTTTTACGCTTGCATTTTGATTTTTTTATGTAATGCTAATTTTGTAAAAATGATTGTCGATGAAAAAGAAAAAAAGAAAGTGCGTGTAAAATAAGCAAATGATAATGATAAGTGTAAAAATATAGATACCGAAAAAAAATGTGCAGAAGCTCTATGTAAGTTGCGTACTTCCACAATTATCATTTATACTTAAATACTATTACTTATATTATTGTCACTAATAAATATTTTATCAGGTAATCAATAAAATCTGAAATTGCTGAAATCTCTGGCAAAGTTCAAAAACCCCAGGCGAACTAACTAATCGGAATCAAACCGAAAAAGCCATAATCAAACCCATAACTTGATCATAAACATACGAAGGACTAATACTTCCTTGTTGTGCAACATCCCAACGAAATATGCTACCGAAATGAAACGAGCAGATCACTTGAAAATTTAATTTAAATGCAAAATAAAAAAGAGAATTTCGATTTTAATAAAAAGGAGTTTTGAATCAATAAAAGTATTTGATGAACAATTTTTTAGAAGATTATCAGACAGGATATACAATAATATGGAGAGTACTCGATATTAAAAACTGAAATGGATTACTGGAAAATGTCCATAATTATTGTTCCATAACAGATAAAACCCGAAACTAATAACTTTTGAAAGTCCCATTATAATTACCAAAATACTAATTAAACGGAAGACAATTCTATTTGCTAGTACAATCACCACGTATGGATTATTTAATTAAAATAACAAATTAATAGGATAACAAGTGCAACAATACATTTACATTTAATGTGCATTCAATAAAATCTTGCCCAATATCAACTCCATAGTATCTCATTCAATGACCTACTCAACAGATAATTTTGTTTACTGGTTAATGACCAAATCCTAATTGCTTTTCAAATTTTTTCTTAAAAAAAAATTATTGTGTTCGACAAGAAATGTTTAAAATGCTTGCAATGAAAAAAAAAAGAAAAAAAAAGAAAAAAAAGAAATCAAGAGAATAAAAGCGAGAAAAGCTTTAATTTACCATCTGTTTTAGTTTTTCGTTTAACTTAAAATGCTTTTAATGGTTCAAAAGATTTTAATTATGTAAAATTCGTTTAGCGAACTAATTGAATTTATATATTTTCTGCACAAATGTGCTTTATCACATAATTGGTTGAACGAAAAATTCGGTTTTTCTTTTTCTTTTTCTTTTATATTTGGTTCGAATTTGAGAAATTAACTAACTGTTTTTGCATATAGAATTTGATAAGGAATTCTCCGATGAATCAAAATTTTTAATTTTAATCAGAATTTCAAAACTTTTAAAAATTGTTCACTGATTCCGATTAACACATTACGCTTATCCGGTCGTTCCTGTTTTTTAAATAACATGTCAAACGCCAAACACTTAGTAATAAATATTTAGTATTTTGAAAAGAGAAGAACGGAAAAACTGAATTTGAAAGGAATTAATAACAAAATAAAGCTGTGTTATGATTGCGAATAATTATTGAAGAATCATAGCATAGAAGACTGTTCGACAAATTAAATTTGAATATATTTCAGAGAAATTTGTCGATTTAAATGGGGGCATTTCAATTGGTTAAAATATGATTTTATCATTACTATTCCTCATTCATGTTTTGTTATCAGTTAATCATCCTTCTTTGATAATCAT